ATTTTTTTACTCGCACGAGAGTATTCTCAAGAATGCGAAACTGATTCGTGTTTGAAAAACCATTGTCCGACAGCAATATGATTACGTATCTCTTCCAGAGCAGGTCGCAACACGTTTACTCTCGGACAGTCAAGCTCAGGGGCAGTATCCACTCGCGAGAGATACTCTCGAGAGCAACTCGCGATAGTTTTACTTTCAAAATGGCACGTAGCTTCGTGTTTAGTTCCATGTAATACAGACAACGACTCTGGCTCGAATTTCTTATGTTCGGTTTAATTTCTTATTTTTTGCTCGAGTTTCTTATGTTTCACTAGCAAAAAACATCGCGAGCCTCGCGCAATGTTTTGGTACGTGAGGTTGACTAGACCCAAGCTACGTACTTGAGGGTCACTCACACGCCTAGGATTTTTCCCAGAACTGCTTGCGTATAGCAGGGAGCAGAAATCGAGCAGATCGACACGTACGCAGTTAGTGCTTACTGGCCTACCGAACGAGTGCGTCAACGAACGACGTTTATACCGTGCTATCATAGTCTTGTAGAAAATTCAGTGCTCCCTCGAATAAAGCGATTTCGATTGTGCGTGGATTTCCAATCAATTTACGTACTTAGCATATTCGTTCGTGTGAATTAAATGCCGCTGCATACAAGAAGCTAGTGCATCGAATTCAAGTACACAACGAATAGCTCAGCTTGGGAGAAAAATCAAACGAGAAGCGTGCCTCTGCGAGCTACACAGCTACAGTTTCGCGATATGTGCATGCGTGAATAATATATACAGTATATTCGCCACCAGGAACGTAGACAAGGACAGCGAATAAAAGATAAACATGAAACGTGAGTCGAGGCAACCAAGCGATTTAAATATCAACTTCTTTAATTTCAGGTTTTTTTATCCCGAAATTTTTCTTAACATTTTGATGAGATTTTTCTGATGAAAATGACATAAAACACGACATAATTTGAACAACATTTACTTATTAACACGTTCACTGTCACGCTAGTATTATGTATTATGCTTTATAATTTTTTTTTTTT